TTTAAGAAAACTTCACCGAGGTGGAGAATTGTGAATGTGAACATGGGGGCCCTAAGAACACGTGAACAATTGCACGTGAAATTGGTTGTCGAAGGAAGTCGGGCACCAGGTGCGGCCTACCCATTCAACTCTCTTATAAATACCTGATGCCATGCTTCCTAGGTTTTTCGGTGCAAACGGGGAGGAGAAAATTTGAGCGGCTTCGTGAGGGGAAAATGCAGAGATAGGCGACTGTTTTTTTAGAGAAAAAAAAACAGAGGAGATCTGGAACCGACTTTGAGAAGGATTTTGAGCATCCTTTTTGTGTGAGATTTGAGAGCTTGTTTGAGGGTTTAATTTGTGTGATTGTAAACCCTATTTGTATTCTCTCTCTAATAGTAGATCCCCCCCTCCTTGCCCCACGGACGTATGTAATTTGTTGAATGACGTAAAATTAGTTTGTCTCGCTTTTATGATTTGTAATAACTTATTTAGGTTCCATCAACAAGTCAGTCCTAGAACTGATAAGAGGAAGAGCTGATATTCCATTTTGTTGAGATATTTTGCTTTTGGTTCTTGTTTCCTTGGTGAAACGAGAATTCTTATTACGACCTATCTCTCTTGTTGTGCTGCCAAAGTGCTGCCGAAATTTCCGCTGTGCGCAACGGTATTACTATTAGAAGGACTATTGGAAGGACAAATATGTTATGAGAACAATTTAAAAAAACAACAAAGTGGTTTGAGTCTAGTCTACCTACCATTCTCTTTTTCATTAAGGATGTAATTAAAGTTGTTATATGAACTATATAAATGGGAGCTATATATCAATGTAGTCATCTACTTATTTGAGACGTGTAAAGCTCATTGCCTTGTAGAAAAGTGAGAGACAGAAAAAATCACGTCAAAGGTGCAGCCTACAAATTTTGAACTCTTTGAAAAAAGGCCATACTCATGCCTTTGAACACCCACGATCTAGAATGTGAATTTTGTTGAAGTGGTTTAAAAAAAGGAGTGGAAAGGTAGCAAACATGATGTTTAGGGATGTACATGGGTGCTAACAATGTGATCCCAATCTGTTTTTATTTTAAGATATTCTTACATAGTTAATAGTGTTAAAATATAATTAGGATGCAACAAGTCCAATATCAATCGTTTCTTTTGTTAAGATGTAGTCCTTACCATATCTCTGGTTTGAGTAATAACAAACTCTCATTTGGTAGTAATATTAATTGAGATGATATAGTACAGGTAAATACAGGTATAAAAGTGTACGAGGTGAAACAACGTGAAAACAAGTTCAAAAGTAAATTTCAGCATTTCTACCGTCTATGGTAGGCATTGACCATCAATGGTAAGAAGAGCTCATTGATGGTCAAAATACATCATTGATGATTTTTTTACTTCAGAGACTTTTATATCATTGATGAGCTTCTCAACCATTGATGGGGCCTCGACACTGTCGATGGTTGAGAGCCATCATAGATGGCAAACATGTTAGCTATAGATTTTTCATATTTAATCTCAACTGTTCATTGTTTATATATTCTCTAACTTCTATCACGTTTGGGATATCTCTTTCCTGTCCTATTGGAAATTTTATATCATTGAAAGAGAGGGAAGAATTCTATGGTTTTGATTTGTGAGAGATTATGTTGAAGAGTTTTACCATTGAAGCATCGTCAAGTTCTCACTCGTCACGCACAACATCTTCATATCTTTTCAACAAGGAAATTTGCTGTTAGATTGATCTTCTTTACTGTTCCTCATCGAGCTACGCTTATATTTTTGAAGGACAGTTTGTTTAACAAAAGGACTATAAGATATTTCTTATATGCTAAGCTTTAATTATTGTTTTTGGTTTTGCTTTAAGCTTCTTTGACAATGTACTCAAATTGGAGTTACTCATTGTGGGAGTTAGGTTAGACGAATGGTTTTGTACGGATTCTAATGTGTGGTCTTGTAAGTTTACTAAATCGGGATTGTGATTCAAGTTAGCTCTTTGCATAACGAACAAGTCTCTTCTTGAAAAGGAAGAGTAGACATAGGATTGTCATCCGAACTGCTATAATATCTTGCATATTCCTTGTTGATTGTTCTTGATATTTGATTATTGTTCTTTGAAAAATTAAAGAAGAAATGAGAATAAAATTTTGTATTAATCTCCCTAACTGACTTAGGAAAAGAATGAATACAATCTCTCTTTGCAATCTCTCTCTAACTGTGTATTAATCTCCCTAACTGACTTAGGAAAAGAATGAATACAATCTCTCTTTGCAATCTCTCTCTAACTGATTTAGAAAAAGAAATTTGACTTAGGAAAAGAATGAATACAATCTCTCTTTGCAATCTCTCTCTAACTGATTTAGAAAAAGAAATTATAACTCCTATATATCGGTTTCTCGATTTACAAAAGAGAGAAGGGATCAACAGAGACCCTGCCATTTATTTAAAACTAGGTTCTTCTTGGTGTCGATGGGAGCTTGATTCTTGTATCCCGTTGACGATCCGAATGCTTCACCTTGTGAAACTTGGTCTTCGCCTCTTGACTCGACGACTTGGACGAACTTGCAAAGCAAATTTTAGAACTCTGAACGAGCTTAGAAGAACTTGACGAGCAAGTTGAAAACTCTGCAAAAGAGTTGATTTGAAAAAGAGATTTCAATCCCTTTTAGCTGAAATAAACTTTCTAGACAAGTTAAACTGGAGCTGATCAAGATGCTTCGAAAATCCCACCTTCAAAGCCAAAATCAAGGCGATCCCAAAAGCCGATCCTCTAGGATGATCCCCAGATCTCTCCCCCCTCACTAAGATCCGAACCAAAGATCCCAAGCTAAGATCCGAACCTTCAGATCCGAAAATCATCAAAGGTCCCCCCTCCAAAGAGATCTTTGCTGCTGATCCCAATCTGCTAGAATATCCGATTTAAACTGATTTTTAGCTATTTATAGGGGATTAAGGGGTCTAACTAACCCCTAAAATCGCTCCTTAGTGGGGGTGTAATCCCCCTCAAATCACGGGAAATGGTTTTGGAACCGTTCAGCTCGTGTTTAAACGAGTCAAACACGAAATCCGCGTTCTAGAAATGAACTCTACGTCTTGAACTTCAGACGCGGAGTTGGGCTCTACGTTTGGGGTTAAAAATGCAATGGTGAATCCTGCGTTTGAGTCTGAAAATGCAATGGTGAACCCTACGTTTTGTTCTTGAAACGCGGCTGTGAGTTTCATATTTTATTCCTGGGACACAGAGATGAGCTCTGCGTCTTGACTCTAGAAGGCAGAGGTGAGCTTCTGCGTCTTGTGGTGAAGAGACCGTCAACTTGTAGTCTCTTTTATTAGAGCGTTGCAAAGATTGTCATCTCATAATCTTTGTCTTGGCTCTTTGAAATGTGAAAGTCGTCAGTTGTAACTCTTGTTGATGATTGTGAAGGTTGTCGAATCAGAATTTTCATCGGTTGTTGTGAAAGTCGTTGAATTGTAACATTCGTCGATTTTCATGAAAGTCTTCAAATTGTAGCCTTCTGGAAGTCGTCGAAGTGTAACCTCCATTATCAATGTTTGATGAGAATCAGCTATCTGTAGTAATTTTTAGACATCCTACAATTATATTGCTTTATTTCATTTATCGCTTTTATTTTATGTATTCCACTGCATATTCTGTGTTTTTGGCAAAAAAACGATAACAATCCTATTCAACTCCCCCTTCCCCGACTTGCATCTCATATCCAACATCTTTATTATCTAAAAGCTTAATGATTCATTCATATTTAATACCTTTTTATCTCCTATGCATGATATGCATTTATCTCTACATTTCTATCAAGAAAAAAAATATAATTGTCCATATTCCCATCGAGATAAAATTATAATTGTCCACTAAATAGTAGATAACTGTAATTAAAGTAATGACTTCTTATATTTTCTGAAAGGAAAGAACCCTCAATATATATATATCAAATATATATAATTATATATATATATTATATATATATACCTGAAAAATAGAACTGTTTGCAATACACGCAAAAATTTAAGATATATAAATACATATATATATATCTATATTTTACAAAGGTAAGGGTGGGCAAATGGAGCACGGGTTGGCTCGTCCCACGTGTCGGCTGCGATGCTGGGCCCCAATGGCCGTGCAACCGAGCTAGTTCGTAGCTTCCGATTGGACCACCTGTTGATTTGGGTGGAAAGTTAATTTTTTCATTGATGTATTCATTACAACTTCAGTCGTTACAATGAAAAAAAATAGTCTTTTTATAAGAACGAAAATTACAACTCTTCTCAAACAAACGCAACAGACGTTTATCACCCGCTACAAACGCAACAGACGTTTATCACCCGCTGCTTGCGTGAGATCTTTGTCTGTGCCGGTGACGTTAATATCCATGGACCACCGAACGATTAGATCAATCTGGAGTTTCGTTGATTCGCGAAGGAATCAAGAAACCGAAGCAGTTATCTTGGCAACAACGAGATAACCACTCTTCTCGAGATCGCAGCTAGGGGCCTGTTTGTTTGCACCGAAGTAATTATGAAGTAGTTGAAGTAAAAGAAGCAGATGTTGCTTCTGTTACTTCCAAGCAAAAAAATAATTATGATAGGAGCACACCAACCACACCTCTAACCACACCCTCTCTCTCATTTGTTACAGTATATCGGATCCCATATGTAATTTTTAAAATTTTAAAATCTCATATGAAGCCCGGTGTACTGTAGCAAATAAGAAAAAAAGTATGGTTGGAGGTGTGTTTGGGATGTGCCCTAGCGCCACTCTTCCAAATTTAACTCCCGAATCTTTCCCAGCACCGATCCAACTCACTGTTCGCGAATCCTGCAACAGTTAACTCAAAAAGCTTTCCCCCCCTGACTTTTTAACCTCGAAAACGATACTGTAAAAAGAAAGAAAACAACCTCCCTCGTCGAAAAGTCCACGTGTCACAATCTCCTTCTTCCGCTTTGGCTATAAGTATCCCCTCTTCTCGTTGAGCTCTCCTTCGGCCTTCATAAAAAAAAAAAAAAATTCGATCTTTTTCATTTTTATTTCCTCTCCCTTGTTAGGGTTAGGGTTAGGGTTTCGATTTCGCGTCCGCCTCTGATTCGCTTGGTGCAGGTCGGGTCCGCCTCGATCCGGCATCCGGCGACGGCGATGGCGGCGGATCCCGCCTTGCATCAACTGAATCGGAGGCGGATCAGCGAGTGGATTGATTAGGATCCGGACGATCGCAGGTCGAAATCCTCTTAAATCTCTGTATTTCTTGATTTTCTCGTTGAGTTGTTGTGGCTTGATCTAGTTTTTGATAGATCATTTGATTATAGTTACTGCCGAAATGACTAGCTTTTTTCCTTAAAAGCCCAAGTTTTGCACTGATTTATTTATAAACCCAAAATTGCTTTACTGAGAATAATTTTTGAGAACCAAGTTTCTATATTCAGTTTTTTTAAATGGTACCCAAAAACTACAGCAGCTTAGACCTGAATATAGCAAACTAGGGGTAAAAAAAATTGTAAGAAAACAACTAAGGATAAAATACTGGTTCTGGATTTTAAAATAATATAGTATGCTATTTTGGAGTTAAGTCAGGGAAAATTTTGGGTTTAAAAAAATGCCCTTACAATCTTGCTTGATAATATAAATCTTTTGAGAGTATAGGGTGATATCTGATTTTACCAGAACTGGTAGATGAAAAGGTGATTGTTATGAGTTAATAATTTTGTCTGAGATTTTATTTGATGTTTCTAATTCATTTAACTCTTTGTTTGCATCTTGTCATTCATATATCTAGGCTGTACTGTTGTTGATCATCAATTTTGTTCCTTAAGTTCAAATGCTACAAATGTTTGTTTAAAAATGCTTAGTTTTTGTTGGGTTGCTTCAACTGGGTTCGTTTACTGTTCAGATTGAACTTTGTCGATCTGAAAATATTATCCTTATTTAGGCAAATAAAAAAGTTGTTCGGACTGAGTTATGCATCTGTTTTCGAGTCGGTGATTGATTCTGTTAAAAGATGGTGTTTTTGGTTCCTTATCATGAATTTTACCGGTTTATCTACGGTTTTGATTCTATATTTCTCATTCATTAGTTCTTTGCTTGCATCTCCTAATTAGTTTGGCTCGATGGTACTGTTATCGTTCATCAATTTTTTTCCCTCACTGTCCTTGAAATGCTCCAGATATTTACTTAGGCTGACACCTCAGTTGAAAGTCTTGATTTTGTTGAGTTCTTGGTACACTATTAAGAATTTGTTAGTCTGCTATCGGTGGATTGAGTAATTGATCAATTTGAACTTTATCGATCTAAAAATCTTGTCTTCCTCATGATTTTAAGTGGTTCCTGAAGGCCAAATTTCATGATTTTATAAGCTAACCCACGATTTTTGGCTATTTTTAGAGATTTAGACTTGTAGAATATAGTAACCCAAAGGCCAAATTTCCCAATTTCATGAGCTATAATCATGAGCTTTTTTACTTATTTTGTAAATTCAACCTATTGGCAAATAATTTTATGAGCTAAATATCATCATTGAATGAGCTATATAACCCATGATTCTTTGGTCATTTTTAATGGTTTCGACATGTGAACAAATAACTTTTTGGAGGTCAAAAATCATGATTACATGGGGTTATAACCCATAATTTTTGGTTATTTTTAGTGGTTTTAATCCATTTCTGAATAATTTCGTGAGGTTAAAAATCATAATTTTATGAGCTATAACCTATGATTTTGATAAATTTTAATTGTCTCAACCATTAGACAAATAATTTCACAGAGGCCAAAATTCATAATTTCATAAGGTATATCTCATAATTTTTAGTCATCTCAACTTGTTGGGAAAATTTCTTTAAAGCCAAAATTTACGATTTTATGAGTTATAACTCATAATTTTTAGCTCTTTTTAGTAATCTCAACCTGATGACAAATAATTTCTTTGAAGCCAAAATTCACGATTTCATGCGCTATAACCCATGATTTTTTTTTGTCTTTTTCATGGTTTCAACACATTGACAAATAATTTCTCAAAGGCTAATATTCATATTTTCATGAGTTATAACCCATGGTTTATGACCAATTTATGATTTCAATCTGTTGGAAAATTATTTTGAGGAGACCAAAATTCATGATTTCATGTGCTGTAACCCCTAAATTTTGAGTTTTTATTGGTTTCGACCAATAAGCAAATAATTTTTTAGAGGTAAAACTTTATGATTTCATGATATTTAGCCTATGAATTTTGGCATTTTTAGTGGTTTGGGCCAGCTGGCAAATGGTTTCACAGAGAGAATTTCATAATTTCATGAGCTATAATTCCTGACTTTTGGCCATTTTTAGTGCGTTCGACCTATGGGCAAATTTTTTTCTAGAGGCCAAAATTCACGACGACTCTCATAGCCTCTGGCACCTCTCCTGTGATTTTCGACATACTCCAGCCACTTCTCATAGCCTCTGGCACCTACCTCAGTACTTCCTCTCACCTCCTTCACCGTGAGCTCTTCTTAGGGCAGTCCTCTCACCGCTCAGCTATTCTTCTCGAAGACGATGACTCTTTGACTCCTCCAGTCATCTTCGGTATTACGTGATTGTTACATGTCTATTTTATGTTTAGTATCTTTTTAAATCATCAAATATGTACTTTTAGATTTTTTAGATTGTTCTTTAATCTTTTTTAGTATTTATAAATATCTAAATTAGACTGCTATTTGACTTTGCGTTTTTTACCGTTATTTTACCGTAATATCCCCAAATAGCCTTAGCGATGCCTCACCGTCACGTGACGCTATCCGCTATCGATAACCTTGGCTGTAACTCATAAGTTTTGGCCATTTGTGGTTTCAATCCATTAGCAAATAATTTGCTGAAGGTGAAAATCATGATTTCATGAGTTTTAAGCCCGTGATTTCTAACCAATTTTAGTTGTTTGGCCCGCATGCAAATATTTTTCTAAAGTCAAAATTCTAGATTTTGTGAGTTGTAACCCACGATTTTTGGCAATTTTTAGTGGTTTTGAGTCATTAGCAGATAATTTTCCAAGACCAAATTTCATGACTTCATGTGTTATAACTAAGAGTTTTTGCCATATTTTATGGTTTTAACCTGTTGACAAATAATTACATGAGCTATAATTCATAATTTTATGAGTTATAACCCATAGTTTTCTAGCCATTTTTAATGATTTTGACATGTCGACAAATGCTTTTCTAGCGACCAAAATTCATAATTTTCATGAGCTATCACCCACAATTTTTGATAATTTTTTATTTTTTGACCCATTAGCAAAGAATTTCTCGGAAGCTAAAATTCATGACTTAATAACCTATAAGCAATCCTCTTGACAAATTTAGTGGTTTAGACTAGTTTCCAAATATTTTTGCACTGGCTAAAATTTCATAAGTTATAACCCATAATTTTTTAACCAATTTTAGTGGTTTCAATCAAAAGGCAAATAATTTTCTGGAGGCTAAAATTCATGATTTCATGAGCTATAACTCACGAATTTTGTCTATTTTTAGTGGTTTTGACCTGTTGGTAAACAATTTCCGGGAAGCATAAATTCATGGTTTCATCGCTGCAAGTGACAATTTTTGGCAATTTTTAATAACTTCAATCAGTGGGAAAATAATTTCTTAAGTGTTAAAATTTATGATTTCATGAACTATAACCCACAATGTTTTGTCCATTTCTAGTAGTCTCGACCAATAGGTAAATATCTCACAAAAGTCAAAATTCATCACTTCATGAACTATAACCCATGATTTTTGGCCAATATTACTGGTTTCGATCCATTGGCAAATAACTTCCTAAAGACCAAATTCCATAATTTCATAAACTATAACACATGAATTTTAATCATTTTTAGTGGTTTCAACTTATAGGAAAATAATTTTAAAGAGGCCAAAATTCAGGTTTCACGAGTTGCAACCCATGATTTTTAGCAATTTTAGTGGTATCCACTCATTACCAAATAATTTTTCAGATAGCTAAAATTCACTATTTAATGAGCTATAACCCACAAGTGTTTGGCTATTTTTAATTTTAATCCATTGGTAAATAATTTCTCAAAGGTCAAACTTCGTAATTTTATGAGCTATAGCCATGATTTTTGGCTATTTTTAACAGCTTTGACACGTTAGCAAATAATTTCCTGAAGGTGAAAATTTACGATTTCATGAGCTATAAGATGTGATTTCTAACAAATTTTAGTTGTCTGGCCCGTAGGAAAATATTTTTCAAATGCCAAAATTCTTGATTTTGTGAGTTGTAACCCATGGTTTTTGGCCATTTTTAGTGGTTTCGAGCCATTAGCTGATAATTTCTCAAGGCCAAAATTCATGACTTCATGGGTTATAACCATCAGTTTTCGCCATGTTTTATGGTTTTAACCCGTCGATAAATAATTGCATGTGCTATAATTCACAATTTTATGAGTTATAATCCCTAGTTTTCTAGCCATTTCTAATGATTTTGACAGTAGGCAAATACTTTTCCAGCGGTCAAAATTCACAATTTTATGAGTTATAACCTGTTATTTTAATAATTTTTTATTGTTTTGACCATTGGCAAAGAATTTTTCGAAAGCTAAAATTCATGACTTAATAACCTATACGCAATGCTCTGGACAAATTTAGTGGTTTCGACTAGTTTCCAAATAATTTTGCACTAGCCAAAATTTCATAAGCTATAACCTATAATTTTTGACCAATTTTAGTGGTTTCAACCTAGAGGCAAATATTTTTTTGGAGACTAAAATTCATGATTTCATGAGCTATAACTCACGATTTTTGTCTATTTTAGTGGTTTCGACCTGTTGGTTAAATAATTTCCTAGAAGCATACATTCATGATTTCATCAGCTGCAGCTGACGATTTTTGGTAATTTTTAATTACTTCAATTAGTGGGAAAATAATTTCTTGAATGCCAAAATTCATGATTTTGGCATTTTTAGTGGACTCGACCCGTAGGCAAATATCTCATAAAAAAGCCAAAATTCATGACTTTATGAACTATAACCCCCAATTTTTAGCCATTATTACTGGTTTCGATCCATTGGCAAATAACTTCCTGAAGGCTAAATTTCACAATTTCATAAACTATACCATATGAATTTTGACCATTTTTAGTTGTTTCAATTTATAGGAAAATAATTTCCAAGAGGCCGAAATTAAGGTTGCATTAGCTACAACCCATGATTTTAAACCATTTTTATGGTTTTGACCCATTATCAAATAATTTCCCGGATAGCGAAAATTCACTATATAATGAGTTATAACCCTTAATTTTTTGGTAATTTTTAGTTTCTGTAAAACCCCAAAAATTTGAATATTTTGTGATAAATAATAATAAATTTGTTATATGATGATAAATAACATATTGTGATGTTTGAGTATGCTAGGAATTGATTGGAGATCAATTCAATGCATATATGTATATATGAGTGCAAATGCACAAAATATGCATGATGTATAAATCTGGAAAATAATGACCAGTGGAGAGATTTTGTATCTTACACACTGATACAGTGTGAATATGGAAAACCTTAAAAGACCAAAGTTGTAGGTCTCTTCAGCATCTTTTCAACAAATCTTTAATCACCTCATTCCGAGGTCGAATGCGAAAGTTACAGCCAAAATACCGAAGAGTATGTTTCTAGTCAGACTGAGTTTCGGGTTTTGGGTTTCGGGTTTTGGGCTGTATTTATTCGGGTTTGTTGCCATATATATATATATATATATATATATATATATATATATATATATATATATAT